ACGGGTATCTATTGTTCTCATTGTTACAAACAATGAGAACAATAGAAACCCGTTTCCTGACTTACTGAACACCCTGTATGTCTATTAAACGGTACAATAATGTTATGGGAGACAGAGATATGGGCACATGCAAATGTGATCGTATCACACTGTTTATAATAATTGACCTGTTTCCTTATTTACTTAACAACTGTATACTCACTAGCATGGGTAGGATTGGAATCAAAAGCGATAGATTTACCAGTCCGACGGATTTAACCACCACTTCCGACGCAGAAACATTAGCATTTTTATACAAACAAATATTTTTCACAACCTTTTCCAAATTATGGGTTGTCTGGTAAGATTCATAAGCATTTGGATGAATAGCACCAAGTCTAAACAATAGTCATTAAAAAATTTCAGTGAATCACAAAATTTGAAACAATATAATTTGTATTTCACATAATATTTCAACTATTCCTAAGTGATAATCTCCGTAACGTATTTTAGCTTCGATACAAAGCTGAGAAGGTATTAATTTTACTGTCTTTTTAGCTTCGATGCGAAGCTGAGAAGGTATTAGTTTTACTATGATGTGTTTTTTTTTTGTGTCTGTTACTACTTTTTTTCAGCTCTCACTGAACGGATTTCTTTCAACGATACGTCAAAAGATCACAAATTGTATCTACCCTCCAAAATTGAAAAAATTTCCCTCGTTCCCCGTAAAAGGGGGAAACCTCCAAAAAAATTACAAATTTAAAAATCGCTAATTTTCAAAAATTTTTTCAATTTTTTTTACTTAAAATTGCTATAACTTTTTTAAAAATAACCAAATCAATATAATTTTTATTTATATAGATACATGATATCATTACCTTTCATTTGGTATATTTTTTTATAATCTGACCCTTTACCTGGCCACAGGAAGGGATTTAAAATGACAACTTTTTCACAAAAAATTAATATATTCAACTTGACTTTTGAAAATGTGTCCGGAAAGTCTGACACTTTTATATATATCTTAAATTAAAGATAATGTAATATACTTTATTATGAAAAAAAAAATGTCGGACTTTGTTTTATCTTCATGGTAAAACAGACATCAAAGTTAAAAAAAAAAATATGATTTTTGTAAAAAAATTCTTTTTTACATTTTTAACTTTATAATGTTATAACCTATTGAAAAGTGTATGGATCAACATAATTTTTTTATGAGAAATAATATTTTTTAATAATCCCTTATTCATTCGACATATTTTATCTTAATCAGGATATAAATAAGGAAATAGGAGATCATTTAGCTTTTGTAATAATCCTCCAATTTTTTAAAATTAAACACTATCTAAAAATTTGAATGTAAGCGTTTTCTTTTATAATGATTTTAATCACTGTCAAATATCATTATACTTGATTCAACTATGGCACGTCACCATTGTGCCGCGACCCCCCTATGCTGGGTTTTTTTCACTTTTTTCTCTTAAAACTATTATAAATTTTTGAAAAATGAACGTATCAAATGATTTTTTTTTATATAAACACTTTAAGTATTTACCTTTTATATGATATCACTTTTTTAAAATTCTACCCGTTAACTACCTTCAGGGGGTATTCAAAATAGCAACTTTTGAAAATGATCCGTTAATAATGCGTCTTTTAAATATATGTTAAATTAAAGTTTATATTACATACTATAAATAAAATTTTTAAAAATGCTCTATCGACTTATCTTCTACGTACAAATGAGTGCCGTATTTAAAAACATGCTATTTTTATGTAAGCATTTTCAATTTTATATTTTCAACTTTAAATTGTTATAATTTTTTGAAAAATGTATAGATCAACAAAAATTTTTATTTCTAAATACTTTATACATATCTCCTTTATACAACATACTTTTTTTTTAAATTGGACAATTTCCTTTTATACATGAAACGTTTAAAATTTGAAATATATATATATATAAATTTAACTTTATCAACTCAAGTTTTTAAATTTTCAGAAAATAGTGCGTCCTTTAAACATATATTAAATTAAAGCTTGTGTTACGTATTATAAATAAAAAAAAAAACATTTTTCCTGATGACTCATCTTTTATGTGCAAATAGCCACTAATATTGAAGTAAAAATAAGAGTTAATTTTGTTTTGGAATAATTCACCAATTTCTAAAAATTAAACACTATCTACAGATTTGCATCGAAGCATTATTTATGATAGTGATTTTAATAACTGTCAGATATCATCTATACTTGTCCCAATTATGCCACGGCCACACTGAGCTTTTTTTGTTTTTAGAAATTATACAACATCAACCAGAAAACATCCAGCAGTGTTATTTTTATAATATGCCATTATTTATTTTTTATATACCTGTATTTATTTAACATAGTAACACAGCTTGTTTTTTCTTCTTTGTTTATTAACTTAAATATAACTTTAAAAGTAACTTTTTCTAGCCAAAAACATAATATCGTATTTCTTTAGTCACATCTCATATTTAACAAAAAATGTGTTTAATTTTATGTCTTTAAAATAATTAGTATAATCTTACTATATTCATCTCGTTAAATATTTTATTTCACTTGGTATAATTATTAAAATTATCCAGTTGAAAATTGGTATTAAACATAGAAATACTTCAAGAGTTTTGTATTTTCTTAAGGAAAATAAACATTCGATAAAACTGAGCTGTTAATGATTTTTAACACGATGAAACAAAAAGAAAGTAATAAACAAAACTTTGATCTAAGGAAAGTTTTCTTTTATAGTATAATTATTTTTCGCACTATAAATACTAAAAACAATCTTATCAGATTACATCAAATAATTTTTTTAAAGAAAACAATATTTTCGTATATAAATTAAATATATTCTCAGAAAATATAAAAGAATAATTGTTATCAACTCTTTTAATTGAATGTTATTTAAGTAAAACTTTATTTAGATAAAAAATAATGTTGTCATAAACATTATTATTTATCATACTTATTTTGTAGGATATTTATGATATTCAATTAATTTTTATTCAAAATAAGTATGTTATAATAAATTTATAACTATAATTATTCATTAACACATTTATAAAAAAACATTTATAATTTTTTGGCAATAAATTTTATGTAAAAAAAAATCACTAATGCAGCTTGATTAAAATTTGAGCAAATAATATTTTATTTTAGTATAGTTAAAATTATATAAATTCACCGTACAAATGTAAATCTTAAATATATAATAAGAGGTTAATCTGTATTAGAAAAAACGTAAACATAACAATTCTAAAAATAAATAAAATATATACTCACATAAATTTTGGGCCACAATTAATTCTTAGATCATGTACTATAAGGCGGATGATCATTTTTAAATCATTTCCGGTACATCTAAACCATTGAAACATTCAATTACATTTTGACGAAGGATATAAAATAGAAAATTAAATTAAAAAGTTAACAACTTACTTGGTAGTAATCGATTTGAATAGTTCTTTTTGGCCATTTTCTGTAGTTTCGGCTGATAATTTATCTAAAAAACTATCAACGTCAACCAATGTTAGCGTAGCTTTTAAAGCAGGTCTAACATCAGCATTGTTACTTTTTTCAAAAAATATTCGTATAGTTTCAGCGACATCGCCCTTCTCCAAGTCCTCCAGCATTAACGTGGTGTTGTGAGAAAACATCTAAAAATTTAATTATGTCAAAATTAACTAACGAAGATAATAATATAAGTATTATACTACTTGAGAAAATAATTTGATCAGTTGCTTTGATTGTAAATTATATATTCGTTTTTCTGAATTTGGTAGTAACAATTTACACCACAAGTATAGACTTTCTACTCGCGATTTAACGGAATTTTCTAAATAATTTTAAAACATATGTTATAATTTTTATCACAATGTTATGATAAAATTAACGAATAAATTTGTTGGAGACTAGACAGTAATAACTCATGCGATACAATTGACAAAGTAAAACGCCGTAAACAAAATACTAAATAAGTTTCAAATAGCAACACAATTGACTGATTGAAAATGTAATTTATATCACAAAAGTTGAATTAACATAAATTTTAAATTTATTTAGAATAGTGAGTAGGGAAAGTTAAAAGGTAGCATAAACGTAATTTTGTTCATTGGGTCACTTTTATCAATTAACAATGTATTACTAGAGATGGGCAAAAATAAACCCAAATCTATCCTTAAAAGTAAATATTTATACTTGAATATAATTTTAGGAATGGAAATCTATAATATTACTCCCTTGAAATATTAGCCTCAATCTGTATGTAAAATTTATGTTTTTTTTGTTATGATGTTAATATTTTAAATTGGAATCTATCATGGTAGTAGCTTATATCATATTTATTCATTTAATAATGTAAAATTTACGACAGAACACAAACATTTTACGTATGCAATTAATGACCTATGAAGGGACCCAGTAAAATCACAAACAAACTATTATATCTCATGTTTCATTATTTTGTACATAGTTTTACGAACCCATGCAAAGATTTTAAATTATAAGATAATCCGTATGGAAACAAAATTGTAACAAGATAGATAATTTGTTACTTAATACATACAACATCTTAGAAAATTTGAAATATATGAATGAACTAATTGTCTCGAATCAAAATCAACTAATTATAATAAAAAGTAACCAAATAATACTTTATTATTATTATAGCTTTCAATATAACGAGTTATTACAAATTAACAATGAACAATATACAATATAATAAAATATATAATAAAAGCTATAGCTAGAATAATACATAAAATTACAAGTACAAAGTTAATTATAGATTATTAATTCCAAAACTAATCATAAGTTATTGTTAAAAATAACTGAGAAAAACCAAAAAATAAAAAAATGCATAAAATATTACAATTTATGAATAAGAAATGACAATTAATTGTCCATTAAAATTAAATATTTAAAACCCTTGGTTAGAAAATGATGAGCACTTATACTCAAGAAAGTGATAATAAGGTAATGGAAGAACTAAGCATTTACTATTATTTACTGTTGTTCACATTATTTTTCTTATAACATTTTTATTGAATTTGTTAAATTTTGTATAATTATACTACGATAATTTGATCTCAAAATAATTTATTTAAAATAAATGCAGGTTTTATATATTTCTGTATTTTAAATGATTATATTTTGTGATATAAAAATATTATAAGTAGTGATGTACCAGGAAACAAGAAGATAAAAAAAATATTATTAAACTATCTGTTTATTATACTATTATATTTATAAAGATAAATTTGCTTTTTTTTTTATTGCTTTAACTAAATTTTAATATCATAGGCGTCATTAACCATATTTATGGGCAAGATTACTATCAAATATGCCTTATACCGAATAAATTTAATTTTTACTAAAAATTAAAATTTACCCAATCCCTCAATTTTTGATAAAAATTTAATAATGATAATGGTAATGGATAAATTTATCTTTCTTTTAAGATATAAATATTGATTAAAATTAATTAACTCCTATTTTCTTTATTTGAAATTCCTATAAGTATATTTTTCATTGCGAGCTTTTCTTAGGTAGGCGGCATTCGCCCACTCCCTCCTACTGATATATAATTTTTGGATGATTTCTTACAGTATAGCAGAAAAGACATACATATTAGGGTGACCCTTAGCTACATGAGAGGTTTTTTTTTTTTTAATATTTGCTAGTGCCATCCCCTAGACTTATTCGAATACATGAAAAAATAAATTGTACAAAATTTGGAGACGATTGGTCAACTCTAAGACGTGCCCCAAGGGGGTTAAAAATAACCCCCCAAGGGTGATTTTTTAGTTTTTTATGTCTATCTCAAAAACTTTAGCTTTTGCGAAAAAGTTTATTCGACCTTTTATGTAGGTATACAATTTTTCTATAAAAAGTATATATACAAAAATTTTCGAAAAGTTCTTATTTAGCCCTAAAAAAATAAAAACGTATACAGAGTGTTTAGTAAGTCAGGAAACGGGTTTCTATTGTTCTCATTGTTTGTAACAATGAGAACAATAGAAACCCGTTTCCTGACTTACTGAACACCCTGTATGTTTTATTCTTACCGTTAAAACTGTTAATTTATAAATCGTTCATTATAAAAACATAAAAAAAATTCATTTAACCGTTGTTTTAAATTGAATTTTCTATACATTTTTAATTCGGCATTTTTTCTATTATTTACTATTCAAAACCTACAATTTTTTTTAATTTTAATTAAAAAAAATACATCAAAGTAAAATTAATACCGTCTCAGTTTCACATTGAAGCTAAAATAATGTTCACTTACAAATTTATATACAACCAGAAACTATTTACAAAGAAAAAACATACTAAAAAAATTTACTACATATTTTAAATATTTTATCTTTTTTAAAATTCTTGGCAATAAATGTGTATTTATTGCAATTAGGAAAACAAAGCCGGTATTCTGTAACAATCTATAATAGGTATTATTTTTGTGCTTCGACTTTTGTTAAAATATTATTATACTCTTCTATGAATTTCACGCCCCTCTCTGCCAAATCATTTATTACTTTTAAAATATTTACTATTATTTTTTCTCCGATATATATTGACTGTTGTCTTTCCACAACAAAGGATTGATATTTAAAAAATCTGTTTCAATGTCATATCTTTCAAACAACTTTTTTGACTCAGTTGAAATAAAATCATCTATACTTTTATTTTTAAAATCATAAATTTCATTTACTTCTACTACTATACGTTTGTTTGTACATAGATCTTCTTCCCAATTATTTAATGAGTTTACTATTTTAATTTTAGTATCTTCACATAAATCATCATCAAAAAAAGCCAATGCTGCCCATTCGGATACTAATTACCATAAGTGACCCGAAATTTTTTTTTAAAACTACTTTAGAAATATCTTTATCTATTGGTTCATAATCAATTATATTTTTAATAAATTGTAAATCTAAATTTGGCGCTAATGCAGCATTGGTGCACTAAACCATTGTTTAATATATAAACTTGTAATAAAAATACATAATGAACGAATATTTAACTCTTTGATTGACAATTCAAATTGGCCCCGAAACATAAAATGTTCAAACAATAAATGGCCTTGGCCATCCAACAAGCATAATGGATTGGGCCAGGAATTTTAAAATAAATTCCATGCAAATGTTAGGGCGTTATATATTATACTTACCATGCAGACATCACATTTATGAAATTATATTGAAAAGTGTTTTTGAAGTAAAATTTAATACGTCATCCGAACCAGATGTTCCTATTTTTAATAAATTCCAAAAGTCTTGGCAAAAAATAATTAAAACAAATTACTTAAGTGGAATAGAAGATACTGTTATTTTAGAAAAGTTAAAAACAAAAAAAGACGATATTTTGAAATTTAGTTTTAAACAATTAAAAAATACCAACCTCGAGGAACTTTTAGAATTGGTCATAATATTTTTTGGTGAAACAGCTTTACATAGAATTTATTTTAAAATTCCTGGCCCAATCCATCATGCTCGTTGGATGGCTAAGGCCATTTATTGTTTGAAATTTTTTTTTGTTTCGCGGCTAATTTGAATTGTCAATCAAAAAGTTAATTATTTAAATAATATTCGTTCATTATATATTTTTATTACAAGTTTATATAGTTTCTGGTTGTATATAAATTTGTAAGTGAACATTATTTTAGCTTCAATGTGAAACTGAGACGGTATTAATTTTACTTTGATGTATTTTTTTTAATTAAAATTAAAAAAAAATGTAGGTTTTGAATAGTAAATAATAGAAAAAATGCCGAATTAAAAATGTATAGAAAATTCAATTTAAAACAACGGTTAAATGAATTTTTTTTATGTTTTTATAATGAACGATTTATAAATTAACAGTTTTAACGGTAAGAATAAAACATACAGGGTGTTCAGTAAGTCAGGAAACGGGTTTCTATTGTTCTCATTGTTTGTAACAATGAGAACAATAGAAACCCGTTTCCTGACTTACTAAACACTCTGTATACGTTTTTATTTTTTTTGGGCTAAATAAGAACTTTTCGAAAATTTTTGTATATATACTTTTTATAGAAAAATTGTATACCTACATAAAAGGTCGAATAAACTTTTTCGCAAAAGCTAAAGTTTTTGAGATAGACATAAAAAACTAAAAAATCACCCTTGGGGGGTTATTTTTAACCCCCTTGGGGCACGTCTTAGAGTTGACCAATCGTCTCCAAATTTTGTACAATTTATTTTTTCATGTATTCGAATAATTCTAGGGGGTGGCACTTTGTAGTTTTTAAATTTTATAAATAAGGGACACCCTAATACATATGCATGCTAATAACATAAAATCACCAAAACAATTTAATAGCTATCGTAGATTAAATAATAGTGTACTTAAACACTTTCATTCTCATTAACATTTTATTAGCAATAAAAAAATATATAAATTCGGTGCATTTGAAGAGCTGTAATTGTACAACTAACCAATTATTTTTATGTTAAGAGGGAAATTTAAATAATTTAATTATACTGTTTTTTTACTAAACAATGCTAATGAACAATATAGCTTAATTGTTAATAATACGATCTAAGCTACTGACCTTTGGCTAAAAAAGAATCGAAAAATTCTTTTACAATAGCGGTTTTTTGTGTATAACTATTTTCTTGAGAAAGTTTCATGCACAGTTTTCGAAAGTCTTTAAAATAGAATATTTGTTTCGGTGCAACCGTTGGTGATGATAGTGTTGTTATTTTAGTTTTAGCTTTTTTTTTGCCTGGCGTATCCTGTGGAAGTGGATCGTCAACGGTTTTTATTTTCTCTTTGGGGACTACATAATATCATAATTAGTTAATAATATAAAATTAGTTATTAATTTTTAATTTAATTCACTTACTATTTGGAAATACTGTGAATATTTCATTCTGATGTTCCATCGATAGAGAATTCCAACCACCGATATCATCAACACACGTAATTTTGGCTGTTGAAGCTCTCTGCTTAGCAAAAACAGAGACTAAACATTGGGGATGATGCCAGGCCATCATTTTACCATCACCAAACGGGTTCGGCATAATTTTTGCAATTCGTAAAGACCCTTGATTTAATATTTCTTTACATTTTTTACATTTTGCTCTGTTGCTTTTTGATTTTTCGGCAATAAAATTCTTTTCCTCCATTGATGCAGAAGATTCCTTTTCCATCTTTCTATTGTAAAAACAACAGAATTATCATATAAATATATTTATAAATTAAAAACATTAAATAAACACATTTAGATCGGAAATACTAAAAAAAATAATTCCTCTTATATTATTATACTAAATTATTTGTATGCGCCGCACTTCTTAGAAAAAAAAGTCTTAGGGGAAATTTAGCTTTAACTTAATATGTAGAACTGATGATTTATGATGAACTAAGACGAACCGAAGACCTTTTCGTGATATTCACATCATAAATCATACATACGCACGTAACAAATAGTACTGAGAAATTTTGACCAATTGAAAAATAGGTGGTAGTTTTTGAATATACTAACAATAAGACAAACTGTAAAATATGTATTATAAATTATAAAAAAAAAGTAAAATTTTATACTGAGTTAAATTTACATATGTATTTTACTCAATAATTTAACTTTTTTACTACTCTAAAAATGAAAACCAATGAATCAAACGGTTAAAAATTGTTGATTAATAAATAACGTGTTAATAATTTGTTAGGAACTATTACATATAAAACAACCATAATACCTAGTGGTAATAGGACAACATAAGGGTTTTAAGCTACATTCATAGGGATAACGTAAACTTAGCACCACACATTTCGATATTAAAGTGAAAAACAGTTGTGACGAATACGGTAAAAGCAGCAGCATCCACTAATGTTTGCTATATAAAGCTCGCGGAATGCAACTTAAAGCTTAAACACTCAACACATACAACGGTCGTTGGATTAAAAAATTATTGAAGTTTTCGATGGTTTAAAATTAATTAAGTTCAAAAACATTCATATAGTGAAAAAAATTTACCGTTAATACTCTATAAGACTACAATTCAATAAAAGAATATTAAAAAAATTAAAGAATAAAAATAAATATTCAAACAGAAAAGGTAAGCCTTTTTATCATGTAAAATTTATCAAACATTAAATTATTGATTTCTTAAGGTACAAAAATAACTGGCACTATGTTTTAAATAGAAAAAATTTACTAAAAGTTTATAAAAGTATACTTTAAAAATTTAAACAAAAAATTAATTAATCATTATTTTTGGCTTTGATAGCTCGTTGATAAAGTTTTTTTATATCATTATTATATATATTTTTTTTATACTCATAATATTAAACAAAACTTTTTCTTTAAATATTATTGAATAAATGAAACTTAAAAATTAATAACTTTTCAGGAATGTTTTTATGCTTAATTTAAGAATTCATTTTTTTAATTTTAGACAATGTGAAAAATGTAGATAATTTTTTTTTTAACAATTTTTAAAAATCTTAAATGTTAGAAAATTTTTAATTAATATACTTACCAGAAATGTTAAATACTATAATATTTTTCATAATATTTGTTTTAACTATTTTTCATTCAATCGATTTATTCGTCATTTTAATCTTAATTAAGAACCGTCAAAATCTGATTTAAAATAAAACACGGAGTTATCTTTTTTGGCACAAAGCCGATTTCAATTATTACTTCAACTAACTTGACTAAAATATGTTTAAGGAGGATGTTTTGTATTATGTAGACTTGCTTAAAAATCATTTATTAAACCGTTAACAAAAATTTTTATTTTGTATTCTATTAATATAATTTTTGTAATTAATTCTATTAACACGCTGAGTATAGAGACTGAGTAAAATTTTTATATGTGTTAAGGTTAAATATATACAAAAAAACCTTTACAAAGAACGGTTAACATCAGTCCGTTAAATGGCTCACTTTACCGAAAAACATCTATTTTACATTCGAACAATTGGACAGATGAATTGAAACGTACTTTTTATTTAACTAGTTGTGAATCCGCATTACTAGTGCCAACTAGTAATTTTCATATTATAAAATCAACACAATTACAAAAAAAATTTAAAAAAATAACTTTTTTCAAAAAATACTATTTAAATCTTTAATGGGCTATATTTAATTTTAGAATTAAGCTTTGCAAATTTTTTCTGTGTTAATAGCGTTTATTTCAGTATTTAGTTACGCTAGAAATATAAAAATTATATTTTAAAATCTTTATAAAATTTTTTATCTGCCCTAAAAAGACTATAATTATAGGTTCAGCCAAAAATCGGTAGCACAGTGGGATCACAGAATGAACGAAGAATAGTAGTTGACAAGTATAGATAATATCAGACAGTTATTAAAAACACTATCATAAAAAAAGCTTTGATACAAATCTGTAATTAGTGCTCAATTTTAAGAAATTGGTGGATTATTTTAAAAGCAACATTAACTCCTATTTCCTTCATTATACCCTAATTAGTAGTTCTTAGATTTACTATTTATATATTAATAGTAGCTACAAAAATTTGTGAATAAATATTTATTATAGCAATTATATGTACTATTAAATTAATATTTAATAATTTAATATTGTAATTTTTACAGAGAAATAATATAAGTAGTTTATTGCGTTATATTTATTATGACAATCATATATAAAAATTAAAGGGCTTGTATAAAATAAAATACAAAACCGAGAATTCTAAAACAAAAATAATATATTTTAACATGCGGTAGCCATTTTCACCACGAAGACAATATAAAGTTCGAATTTTTTTTTTTTTTTATTACAGTAAATTACTAAATCTTTAATTTAAGATATGTATAAAGGTATCAGTATTTCCAGAAAACTTTTAAAAGCTGAAAAAGTAAATTTTTTGTGGAAAGTTATCATTTTAAATCTGTGAGCCGGTAAAGAGTCAGATTTTCAAAAAATATATACCAAATGATAGATCAATACCTAATGTATCTATAAAAGAAAACCCGTGCGTGTTACGAGTACGCGCGGATGAAATGAAACTTCTTTTGTCATGAAGATATCGCATGAAAATTGCACCTATTATGGTTGTCTAAAATTCAGTTTTATGTACAATCAAGATTATTTGGAGTTAAATTATTTAATGCACTTTAAATAAAATTACATTAACTTTCGAAAATACAGTACTCAATTGTAATATAAATTAAACTTTACAGCTGACCGTGATGCTCGATAATCTTTTTTTTTTTTTTAACCATCTGTAAAGAAGTTTCACTTAAAAAATTGTTTCTGTTCATCTATTACACATAATGGCTATCTTTAATGTAGGGGCTTAAAATCGAAATGTATATTTCAAATTTTTCAATTACCTCATAAATATAATTATAGCTTATTAGGGTCTTAAATTGTGTTTTTTTTTTATTAGTGGTTAATTAATTACATAATTACTGATTTACTAATATCTCAAAAATTACAATCATTTGAATTATAAGGTCAGATACGGAATCAGTGATAAATTTCATTATACGATTCTTCGTTTAATTATTTTTTTACAATTAATTTGTTATAATTTTTTTCAAGTCATTAAATAAATAAATTTTAAGGAATTTTAACATCTAACTATTAAAAAACCTTTGTTAAGAAAAAAAACCATAAAAAACATGAAAAAAACATATGTTTACATCTTTAATCATAGCTATTTCATTTTTAAATTAATACTCGGGAACAATATTCTTTTGGAAAGATTTTCCAAAACCTTAGTGCTCTGAAAACAAATATTAAGCAACCAAAACAATCACCCAAAAATATTTGAAAAATTTAGGTTTTTTTTTAACTCTTTTAATATCTTTGAGAAGAATTACAAACGTTCACCTTCAAATAAAAAATGTTCATACCTAAATTATTTATCATATTAAATAAAACAGGATAACTAGATTTATAATTATTGTTAAAGATAATAATTATAGTTATTTTCCAGACAAAATTTCAAATGTATTAATTTTTAAACAAAAAAAGTTATTACATTTTACTTCAATTTAATTTATTTCTAATATCACTCTAATAATAAAATAAAATGGTTTTAATAAAATAATTCCTTCTAAAATTATTTATTTATAATTAATCGATTCCTCATTTTTTTTCGTTATTTTAAGGAAGATATTAGGACGTAATATGTATATTGTAAATTAATAAACTTTTTGAATTATTATTAAACTTAAATATAAAAGCTGAAAACTTTATATAAATCAGTAATTAGTAATTAAAGTAGTAAAAGATTTAACACTTTAAGTCAAAATTATAACATTTTAATATGCATTAAAATATTTTTTTAAATTTTGCATTAACCATTAAAATAATGTTACAAAAAATCAAAGATTCTTGAGATCTTTATAATTATGGTTTTGTAGTGTAATGTCGTGTTCTCTAAACTAGTGGAAGTAAAGTTGTGTATTTCGACAAAGCTTATATTAGTTTCTAAACTGACGTCGTTAAGTTATAATTTATTTAGTTGAAAAATAAGCCATATTTTAGGTAACGTATTTTTATAAACATTTACATTGTTTGATGAGAAAACTTCAAAAACTTAATTCAATAACCTGGAGTAAAATGATATCAACGATCAAAATAAAATAAATTTTTTTAATGAATATTAGGTCGTTTATTTTACAAGCATATGATTAAAGGACTCCTGCTGCCTGAAATTTCATATCAAATTTATTGCACCTATTTAGCTAAAATAAAAAAGTTTAATTTTATAATAATAATACTACTTTTACTAGTTAATGTAAATTTTAAGATTCTATGAATATTATTTTGTTATTATAACAATAATGGTTTCTTGTTAAGCTACTTTATACAAAAAATTATGTCTCCTACCAAATCTTATAATTTAATCTTTTATCAACTTTGATTTTCAAATGGCAAACACAATTTTTCAATTAAAATAAAAATATTCAATTGAAAAAATAAAAAATGTTTATTTTAAAAATCGTTTTATAATATTCGATTTTCAACAAAATGCAACTGCTTAAAGTTTGAATGCGATCAGAAAAAAAGTAATACTATTAATGTAACATGTAGTTCATATAACATATACTATAATAACATACAGGTGATCCATTTAACATTGACCAGCAAATATCTCAAAAACTATTTATTATTTTAATAATTTTTTTTTTTAATTATTTTAGTTACATAAAACTCTACATTTATCCATGATCAGATAATTTTTAGGTTCATCCCTTATGCCTTAAAAGGGTACCAACTTTTTTTTTTCAAATGGAAACATATATTTTTAGTTAGATATATTGATAGAGTTTTTTTTTTTTAATTTTTAGCGTTTGAATTTTTCATTTAAGTCGATTAGTTTGCATGTTATTTCACTTTAAAGTTTTGATTTTTTTTACCTATATATATGTATAAAACGGGTAGACTTGTAATACAGGTAGTTAATTGCAGCGGTTATGATGGCTCGTAAAGACACATATTAGATAAGATAAGATATTTGCTGGTCAATGTTAAATGGATCACTCTGTATAGTGTAAATACTAGTGTTATAGAAAAAATGTATATATAAAATTATACACATAATTGTTTATTTATAAATAGATAAAAAGATTTGGTCGTCATTTTGTGCAGAGCGAAAAAATTGTTTTTTAAATTTAGACCTTAATCATCCCCAAGTTCAAAACACTATTTGAAACTCTGAGCTTAATAATATTAAAACTTACTAAATACTTAAAAAATTATAATTTCTTTTAATAATTTAGATTTGTCGTGATGTCCACTTCATGGCTTAAAATGTTAATTCTTTCAATTTATTTAATGGATATTACTCTTTCAATGGAGTTAGACTATGATGAACATTCAAAACTTACCAACGAAAATGTACTCACGTTCTTAAAAAAATATATTGAGGTAATTTAAAATTCAATTTATATTTTTATATTAACTGTTCTCAAGTTTTATTTTGAATTAAACAAATTAATGTGTCTTTTTCTAAGGAATTAAACAATAAACGAGTACTGGAAGGTTCAAATAAAAAATTAGAACAAAACAAAATTATTTATGATGCATTACCTCTTATATTTACTAACCACAATCAAATGATACAAAAAGATAGATCAACCAACAAAGAAATGCAATATGAAAATAATGTATTGCCCAATTTTAATTTCGAAAATTCTCGTTACAACAATGCATACGGAAATGACAGAGGAAAAAGAAATCGTAAGTAAATTAACTATCATAAACAGTAGTATATCAAGAATGCTGGCTATGGACACATTATTGATCTTGTTAAACTCATACATTTTAGGTAAATAATAAACTAAAAAAGACGTTAAATTTTTCTTTATTTTGAGCCTATTGAAAAGTATTTGGTATACCACTAGTTTTAATGACATACATAAAGACGGTAACATTTTTGAAGATTGTATTTTACTATATTTATTTTTCTGTGGTATCTTATTTTTTTCTCAAAAAGTTTATTTTTGAAATAAAATGATATTTTTCAGTATAAAAATTAATTTACACATAAAAATATTGAGCTTCATTTAACTACAATTAGTAACATTGAATTTAAATTACATTAAATTTCAAAAATGTTATTTTAAATACCTACAATATTTTATATTGGCTAACAGTTAAATTTATTAGTATTGCTCTTTTTCAATAATAATTATTTATAACGCGGTTACTAGTTTTATTAATTTAAAATTAATTTCAACCTTTTATTTCAAAAAATACATTTAAAAATTACACTTTTTGATTTGGAATAGAGCTATTTTATTAATTGATGTTTGTTATAGCATTAAACATAATTTTACATATGACAATACAAATTTTTTTTTCAAAAATAATAAATAAAAAACTACAATAGATACTAAAAATTATATGGGTCTCTCAAAAAGCACTAAAAAATACCACTTCTCAGACTTGTCTACACATAGAAAAAAAATGTTTAGATATAATAAGCTAATATCTATTTTTCTTTTTGTTATTTTGACTATTAAATATTCTATAATCAAGACTAAAATCATTAGCCTGATAAAAGTATCGCAACACAATAATATATGTATGTTATATCAAAAGACAATTACTAACCAAATATTAACAAAATAGAATAGTACGCATAATTTTAACATTAAAATTCTTTTTTTAATTTGGTTTGATGTACCTGATTAAGTTTCATGATCAATAAAGATAAGGACCCTAACTACTCACCTACGGCATTCCTTCTAAAAAAATACTTAGTAAATAAAAAAAATTATGTATTTTTAGATATGTGCTACTTCAAAATATGCAATAAAAAGTGAATAAAGTCATTATAAATACTATTCAAACTAAGATTTGAAAAATAAACAACTAGAAGAAGAAAAGTCTTACAATATTTATATATATATGAAAAGTTCATGACTAAGTAAAAATTTTCCATTTTAAATTTCTGATTAATTTTTATTTATCATAATTGTCATAAACTAATAAAGTGTCTTTATGTAATAACTATTAATTATTAGTAAAAATAAATTTTACATTAAGAGTATAATAAAATCTGTAATTTTTTTATTTACTATTCAGTTCTTTAAACTGAAGTTGATTTCATAAAGGAAATTAACTTTATCAATAAAAAGGAACCTAAAGAAAAGTGGAAATATTTTTGAAAGTTTCTTTAAAAATATCATTTCTAATACTCTAAATTTTGGTCATTTAATACTTGCTTTATTTTTCTATAAGCTCTAGGAATCTTACAGAAAAATATTCTAGGCATTGCAAAATTTACCGACCATAGTTTAAGTTGTGTCTGTGAAAACTTCCTCGCAACTATGGGGGAAAGATTTATAAGAAGATAAAAGTTATCTATATATTTTAAATAATAAAAAAAATTTCTTCAATCTGTCTCCAGTATCTTTATAATCACACCCTATATCAATATATCTATTATAAAACACTTATATTACTAGATGTTTAGCAATTTTAATATTATTTAAAAATATTTCATAGTCTATAAATAAAAAGTCAATATATTTTACTTTCCCTCTATATGGACAATACAAAGCCAATCTGACTCCTCTAAATAATACCTCTGATTTTTAGAACTATTTTAGTATTGTTACCTTTGGAAGCTATTTTATAATGATAAAAACTCAAATGTTTAGGCAACAAGAATTAAATTAAATACAATAGTTTTTATGTTAATTATGAAACGAAAAATCTCAATAGGAATAATGGTACTTCCTGTCCTTTTAGAGGATTCCATAATAGGAAGTAATATTGACCTGTTGAATTGAAAAACAACCTAGCAAGTTGGTATGTAATGAGTAATTAAAATTTAATTTTTAAATTAAAAATGTTGTGTATCTCAACAAGTTGAAAGATAAAAAATTAATAATGCTTTTTAATTTTATAAGTTATGTTAAATTATTAGATGTTTATGGCATTCGAAAAAATAATAAAATAGTAGTACATTATAATAAACTTTTTTTAAATATTTCACTTATATAAATCTAATAATTTAAGCCTAGATAATTCATATAAAGTAATTTGTACTTGACAGTATCATAATATACATTTAAGAAAACTAATTATAATAAAACAATACCTTCTCGGCTTAAAAAATAAAATATTTTTTTTATCATAGTCAAAACTATAAAAATTATTTTAAGAAAAAGTAACAAAAAATATTAACTGGATCAAAAGTTATTAAAGATGTCAGAACAAGGTGTAACATCAGTATTCTTGACTACAAAACTAACAATAACATAAGAAATTTTAAATACTTATAACGTTTTGTAGATATTTGTAAGACAAATATTTTATAACTTGTACCTATTTAACTTGGTTCATTGATAACATATTAAAATTATATATATAACAAAATGAACTTAATTCACATTTAATACCTATCAATTCAATAAATTTAATGACTACAGTTATAATAACTATAATATTAGCAATAGTTCACGCTTACACACATACATATTAAAATAATATTTTCCACTCAGCTTACTTGCAAGTATGTTGTACTACTAAAACAAATTATTTATGCAAAATGGTTAATTTATAAATTTATTTTTTAATATTTCACATTTTATTGACATAACAATAAAAATGGCGAAAAAATTGCAAAATTGTAACATCAAAAAGTTAATAATTTAATATTTAAATTCAAAAACAGTTATTTGCGAATGTGAGATAATAATATCATAGAATGAAAACTTTTCTCAATTTATATAATACGCATGGGACGAACGTACAAATCGGCAATGTATTAGATAAGAATGTTTATTGATAAAATATTTATCAGTATATGTATATAAATAATGATAAAAATTTTTGTTTTTTATAAGAACGAAAAAAATGGAATTAGTGATGGAAAATTTTGAAATACTATGAATATTTGGGTTATGGAGATTCCACGAACTGATAATGCTCCGACATTCATATACTCCGACACTATAAAAAAAATCATCCGAGTACATTTACTCCGACAACAATTACTACAAATACCTAGTTACAAACATTTGGATTTTACTACGACGATGAATACTCCGAATAGGACTATTAATTGATTGCTCCCAATGAAATTTGATCCAAATATCGATTATTCGCGAAATCGATAAAAAAATTATGAAATTTCGTATTAGATGAGTATCGTAGCAAAATATTATCTGATGGAAAAATATAACCCTTATCACTAATTATAAATATTAATTAATATAATAAAATAGCGTTATAATTGATTACTGTTTATTAACGAATAATTATTACAATAAAGGCCCTCGAAATGTATCCGACTTTTGATAAAATAGGTACATAAAGGTAAGGAAGGGGCTTTGAACTAGAACAACCCCAGTTATATAACTGGTGTGAGCTCTTAAATTTTTTTTTTTGGAGGGGAAAGAAGAGCGATTCCAATTTTCGGACGTAAAATCTTTTTTGCCTCTCTTTATTAGTGCCTATTATTATAACATTTAATTAGTTTAATTAAAAATATAGAGGTATCTGTCACTGATGATAGGATTCGTCATTAAACTAGCTATTATTATTAACACTACACTATTATTATTCGTCATATTTAAGCGAATAATTTTTCACTTCTATTTTAAATATTAGAAAAAACCTGTGTACATGATAAAAGCAAATTTATTTTGTGCGATAAAGATTTCCATATTAAAATCTAGACTAAATATATTTTTAAAATAAATTAATAAAATATATTTACTAACTAATAGTAGTGATGATACACAAGTTACAACATAAAATAAATTAAATGGACTAGATATCTTTGTTACTTTATTAATAACAAAGAAAAATGTATTAAATGTTAGTTTACAACTGATAAGTACATATTTTTAAGGGGAATAACAATTATTTAATATTATATAATGTTTTACTACTGATAAATAGAATATCAAAGAATAACACTTGTGAAAAATAATGGAGTGCATTGTTAAAAATATGTGAAGTTTAATTTTGTAACAATTTCATTGTAATTATTATTAAAAAAAGGAAAGGCTATTCAGATATTTTTTTCAAGGAAATATCAAACTGATTTCAATAAATGTATATTAGATTTTAAAGAAAAAGAACTTTAAATAAATAATTTTTTACTCCTTAATATTTTTAACTTTTCTTTGAGCACCACTGGAGATTATAATGGTTTTACTTATAATTTAACATTGATTATAAAACTCATGTCACAAAATAAAAATTGTTTAACGATGAGTTAATATATTTTTACTTTTAGACGACACACAGAATTTTTAAATAATAAAAAATTAATTCTACTTATATATAACCAAAACTTACTCATTCTTAGCATAACTTATATTAGAACTTGTAGCAAAACTTACACAGTTTAATATTATTTTTATTTTTTTACATAAAAGTTAAAGATTATTTTAGTAAATAATTTTCAATTAAAATTGCTGAAAGAAAAATTAATCATAACCCATCGAGTCAACACAAACCTATTGGAAGAAACTTCCAGAAAGTAATAAGACTAAAAAAAGTGTATTCAACAATTACTTTATTGAAGTTAGATATACTATGTTTTTTTTATACTTAGATATCCTAATGTAGCACAGGAAAAAATCCAGTCATCCCCAAGAATGATGAAGAACACATGGAAGAAATTTCTTTTTTAACCTTGAGGTCTTATTGTACTACATCCAAAATTATTGGATAGACCTCAAGGGTTCTCAGTTTATTATTTATTATTTTATTATTATTATATTTATTATAGATATTATTTTAACTCTTCCCGAAGACACTTATTCATATTATCAAATTAGACATAGAACACCCAATTTTATATTGTACAAATATTAACAATTTTATGTTTATATTAGTCATTATTTTTTAATAATACACACTTAGGAATTAATCACTAATAAAATTGTACATTACAATTTTTACAGCACATATTTGTTATAGAAAAATTAGTTTTCAAATAGATCTCTTGGATGTTAAAAAATAAATTATGGTTAGATAAAATTTTGTGGATCAACTGAAAATACAGTTAACTAACAGTTTAGAGATATCTAGTAATACAACCATAAATCAGGAAGATGGCGACGACGTAATTGCAACTACTCCGCAAGTGATAGCACAAGATGCAACTAAAGCCTTTGAACTGGGTTTGCAATGGACTGAGGAGAATGGTGCATCCTACAACGAACTTTTACTTTTAAGAAGACTGAGGGACAGAGCATTGGTCTCGCGTTTCAATAATGTTAAGCAAAAAAAAATTGATAAATATTTTCATGCTTCATAAATTCATATCATGATTTTTATTCATAGTTTTTGACTATTTTAGTATGTACATGTGTTTAAACACAATTACATTGTAATTTTATTCTTTAATGTAAAGTTATTGTTTTTTTTAAGTTCTTTAGCATTAATGACGTTAATTTTATAGTAAAACACATAATGAAGCATGATTTGTACTTCACACCAGGGTCTATCAAGACCAAATCTTATCTTTGTATTTGTGATTTTTCGGATTACAAGGTACCCTATTGTTAAAATTTTCGGACTATAGGAGGTCTTAGGGAATACTCTATAATCCGACAAATTCGATAGTTCGACACTGACCAGCAAAACGTTTGTCGGATTACCGGGGATCCACTGTAATTTTACTATGATGCGTTTTTTTTTTTATTTATTTATTTTTGTGTCTGTATACGCTCAATCTCAGCATTCGCTGGACCGATTTTGATGAAAAATACGTCAAAAGATCCCAAATCGTATCTAGTCGAAGACATTACCCTCAAAAATTGAAAAAATTTCCACATTTTCCGTAAACGGGGGAAATCCCCCAAAAAATTACAAATTTAAAAACCGCTAATTTTCGACATTTTTTTTTAAATTGATATAGCATAGAAAGTTAAACTTATTTAAATTTGTTTGGTTTTTTTAAGTCAAGAAAAATAACTTTGGAATTTGAATTAGCTTAAATAGCTAATTTTTTTAGGCGACGGTAGCGACGTACGGTTGCCGAGTAAGTAAAATTTTTATTTTACTCGCTTGGGGTACAATGTTCCAACCCGCGTATGGCAATGAATTGTTTGCATTTTTTCTTAATTCTTTTTAAGTTGCAATAAATTTTCAACTCCTTTGATTTTTATCTTATTTAGATTCAATAACTTTAATACAGATCAAGAATCCCATCACTGTAGTCGCCACTCGCGAGAAGAAATTTTTTATTAAAATTAAAATTATTTTGCTATATTTTAAGTTTTAGATTCGATGCAAAGCTGATAAGATATTTTTTTGTGACAATATTTATTTTCTGTGCTCTAACTTGATCTACTTTTTTCAACGATACGTCAAATAACTACAATTCGTATCTAGTTGAAGATATTACCCTCAAAAATTGAAAAAAAATTCGAATTTATCAATTAAACAGTTACTTATCCCATGTTCTCCATACAGACAATTAAAATCATTCATTTCTAATGTTTTCAGAATATTTATTAACGAATGAAGTTTGATATGATAGGTTTCAAGTACAAAATAAAATCATTTTACTTTGTAATTTAATATTTTTTTACTCTATTTGTGTGTACTACTACTAGACTATAATATTCCAAATTTGTTGGTAACATGTTGCTAAAAAAATCATTTCTAAAAAAAATGATTGTTAGTTTCTCCTGAATTAACAATGGATTTTTACAATTATAATCAAATTTTATAATACGCTCAATTAAGTAAATCTTTTTAATAACTTTGTTTTGATTGGTTCATTTAGTTAAAGTAAATCATTAAAATTAATTAACTTCTGAATATTTCAATTGCAGAATCTTTTCAAACACCAAAAGTTACTAGGAAATTATTACTAATACTTCTATTTAAGTTATCTGTTACCATAAAAATGCAAAAAAATATTGAGCTACTCCGATAAATTTACTATAAATAGTATTTATAAAACTTCCTAACTTTAATCTTAACGATACAATTTTTTTTAATTTTCATAAAATTATCTATTTAATTATGTCAAATTCAAACTTGCCAATTGAGCTAAAAGTTATGGTANTTCCAGTGTATAAAACTTATAACTTTGTTATAATAATAGTGTATTTATTCATAAGTAACAAAATTTTATTATTAAAAAGTATTGCATCAATCCCTTTAAATTTTTATACGCATTAAAAGTATATGAATATAAACTCCTTTTTATTTTTATAATATCTCCGTAAAAATTACAATATTATTGAATATCAATTTCATACTAAATTTAATTACTATAATTATTATGTATTGATATATTATAATTATAAATTAGGATAAAATTAAGGGAATAAGAGTTATGGTTGCTTTTGGAATAATCCACCAATTTCTCTAAATGAAATACTATCTACAGATTTGCATCGAAGCGTTTCTTATGATAGTGATTTTAATCACTGTCAGATATCATCTATACTTGTCCCATCTATGCCTCGTCCACACTGTGCCTCGACCCCACTGTGCTACCGTTTTTTTT